CTTAGGTGGAGCCCCCCCTGGGGCCACGAAACGTGTGAGGGGTGTGCCGAAACAGAAACATGCGGAGAGCAAAGGCAAGGAGGGGGAGGAGGGAGGAGGAGGAGGAGGAGGAGGAAGAAGGAAGGAGGAGGAGAACGCGGGGCACCGTCTCTTCCAAACGAGGACCCAACACCACAGTAAGGTTGGGTATGTGAAAGAGTTTCACGAATTGCGGGCGGCTCCTTTTTTTCATGTGGCTCTCGCCTTAGCGCCGCGCCCATTCGTTTCAAGAATTCGCAAGAGCTTCACGGATTCCCATGATCAACGTACCAGACATGATGTTTTGGAAGGGCTCCAGATTATGCGGGCGCAACAGATATGCTGATTTGCAGTGATGAAATCCAAAAAAAGCGTTCTGACACGATTCCAGATCGTCCGGACGCAGCAGTCAGGTTGATCCGTGTCATGCATCACGGTCTTCAACGGTTGTCTTCCAACGAGGCAGTTCCCTCAATGGAAATGAACGACTATCGGGGCATATGAAGAGGGAGCTTGGAGGGAGGGTCTATTCCAACAGCGTTGATGCCTCTTGGGTTTACACTGATCCTCCTGACTCCTGCTTCTCCTCGTCATCCTCCTCCTCCTCCTCCTCCTCCTCCTGTTCCTGCTCGTGTTCCTGCTCCTGCTACTGCTCTTGCTCCTTTCCGCCTCCTCCTCCTCCTCCTCCTCCTCCTCCTCCTCCTCCTCCTCCTCTTCCTCCTCCTCATCCTATTCTTCCTCCTCCTCCTCCTCCTCATCCTCATCCTCCTCCTCCTCCTCCTCCTCCTCCTCCTCCTCTCCTCCTCCTCCTCCCCTCCCCCTCCTCCTCCTCCTCCTCCTCCTCCTCCTCCTCCTCCTCCTCCTCCTCATCCTCCTGCTCCGCCTCCTCCTCCTCCTCCTCCTCCTGCTCCTCCTCCTCCTCCTCCTCGTCCTCCTCCTCCTCCTCCTCCTCATCCTCCATTCCTTCTCCTTATCAACAACTTCTCACTGTCGCACCCCGAGGCCAGTTTTTTGGGCGGGCCGGGCGTTTCGCCTGAGGCTTCGTCACTGCTTCTGACTCTGAAACTTAAAAATTGACAACAGCTTCACATATGGAGGGCGGGTCGTTTTCAAAATGTGGCTCTCGCCTTAGCGCCGCGCATATTCGCTTTCAAGAATTGCAAGAATTTCACGGGTTGAAGGCGAGCCGTTTTCAAAATGTGGTTCTCGCCCCAGCGCCGCGCACATTCGTTAAAAGAAATCGCAAGAGCTTCATGGATTGAGGGCGAGCCGGTTTCAAATGTGGCTCTCGCCTTAGCGTCGCGCACATTCGTTTTCAAAAATTGCAAGAACTTCACGGATTGAGGACAAGTCGTTATCAAAATGTGTCTCTCGCCTTAGCGCCGAGCACACTCGATATAAGAAATTGCAAGAGCTTCACGGATTGAGGCGAGTCGTTTTCAACATGTGGCTCTCGCCTTAGCGCCGCGCACATTCGTTTTCAAAAATTGCAAGAATTTCACGGATTGAGGACAAGTCGTTATCAAAATGTGTCTCTCGCCTTAGCGCCGCGCACACTCGTTATAAGAAATTGCAAGAGCTTCACGGATTGAGGCGAGTCGTTTTCAACATGTGGCTCGCGCCTTAGCGCCGCGTACATTCGTTTCCGAAAATTGCAAGAGCTGCACGGCTTAAAAGGGGCTCCGTTTCAACATGTGTCTCTCGCTTTAGCGCCGCGCACATTCGTTCTAAATGTTGCGAGTGCTTCACGGACTCTCATGATCAACGAACCAGAAGAAAGGGATTTTGGAAGGACTCTGGCTCATGAGTGTGCACAAGCTATGTTGATTCGCAATGTTCAAGCCCCCGGAATGGCGTTCTGGCAGGATTCAGGACCGTCAAGACGCAACAGTCTGGTTGATCCGTGGCGTGGAAATCCCGAGAACAATGTTTTGGCATGCCTCAGGATCTTCAATCAGTTGTCCTCCAACGAACCACTGTATGGTCCTATGAACAGGGAGCTTGGAGGGAGGGTCTATTCCAACAGCGTTGATGCCCCTTGGGTTTACACTGGTCCTGCTCCTCCTCATCCTCCTGCTCCTCCTCCTCCTCTTCCTCCTCCTCCTCCTCCTCGGTCCTCACTCATCCGCCTCCCCTTCTCCTCCTCCTGCTCCTCCTCCTCCCTGCTCCCTCCCGTCCTCCTGGGCGCGGGAGAAGGAGAGGGACGAGGTATGAGGAGAAGGAGAAGACGAAGAAGAATAAGAAGAAGGAGAAGAAGGAGAAGGAGAAGGAGAAAGAGAAGGAGAAGGAGAAGGAGAAGGAGAAGGAGAGGGAGAAGAAGAAGAGGAAGAGGACGAGGAGGAGAAAGAGCAGGAGGAGGGAAGTGGGCAGTTCGAAAGGTTCGCTAGGGGCGGGGCCCTCGCTGCCGCGGCCAAGTCCGCCCTGGAAAGCCCGTCCAGAACGCCCTCCCGGAAGGGCTCGCCACTGAGGAGGAGGAGGAGGA